AGCTGCTTTGGCAAAAATATCGAATTCTTAAAGATTATTGGCATGGCAGTCATTTACTAACCTAATTTGACGCCTTTCTGTGAACTAATGCTAGCCATAATTTAATTTTTGATGGAATGCTACTAAGAAAGTTTATTAAATTGATTCGAAATCGTTCGTATTTAAAACCTTTAAAATCGAAATAAATGATAATAAACGTGAATTAATTATTGGATGATTCAATAAACTATCATAACCTTTCTCCAGTAAACACTATATGTAATAACGGAGTTCGCAGGCAAATTTTATTTTGTTCTAAAATTAATTAATATTTGCTGATGCTACAGCTGTGGAAAAATCGTTGGTACATTCGAAGATAAACTAAGTACATTTGAACGTGTAATAAGATAGGGCAAGTGTAAACTATTCTCTAGTATTTAAGACTGTGGTGTCTAGTTGAGTTCTGTATAATACTATAATAAATTTCAATTAATAAAATCGAATCCTAATAAAGGACTGAAAATGGAGTCCTTTATGGTCTCTAAGCAGTAGAATAGTGTTACTTTACGATAAAAACAGCATTGAAATTACTAGAATTGGTTATCTTACATAGTCAAGTCGATACTTCGCCATCATTTCCTTTTCTTTTTTCGTAAGGTTTCTATACAGCAAACGATAGATACATTACTATAGAAAATTTTTTATATCGATTTTTGTCATAAAAATGGTACGTCAGGGTTACTGTAAGTCTACTATTGGGACTGCATGCTAAATTGCATGCATTTTATCCTTTGCGTAGAAGACTAAAATTTAATTTTATATATTTTCTTCTTCTTATAGAATCTCTTGGCATCCTGATAATACCAATGTCATCCTATTGTAAAAAATAATTCATTTATTGAACTAGCCAGGCCACTTGGGATTTAAGAAACTTGCAATTAAGATGATTAATTCTCCAAGGTAGTATTCAATAAAGAATGTTGAATAAAACAACAATTAAATCTTGTATTGCTAATATTCCGTACTTTTAGAGCTTGATATAAAGATCATTAAATCAACTAAAACCGTTCACTTCATTAAATCTGATTTAAAAGAGTTTTTCTTTTAGGCTACGGAAGAGAGTTGGTAATAAACTTATTCACAACGATCTATCTTGACGCAAACTTTTCTGGATTTAGTATAATCTAAGGCAGTTTTGAACATCGTATGAAAACTTTTTCTTTTAACTCGATCGTCAAGCATTATGCCCTTCGCTAAAGATGAAGAGAAAATAGTGCTTCGGTGGCCAAAACAAAATAACGAAGGTAGCTTTATTAATAAGAATTATCGTTCTGTATTGCCAAATATTTGATTAGGACTGAGGCTGAGGTTGAAACAATTTAAAAAGCGATACTAGTATGATATATTTGACATATATGATGTCGCTAGAACAGATTGAATTAGTAAATTCCTAATTTTGTTTTCTTCTCCTTTGATTTGATTATGTTAACTAAGAAGGATGTTCTACAGCATTTTAGCAAAACTTTATAGAAAGTCAACTTATACAGATTGACATATTAACACTGTTTAATTATAATACAAGCCAACTCATTTAGTTAATAAAATCATGTTTATAACGTATTCGTGCCGATATTGCAAGTTGATGCTATACAGAGTTAGTTTGTTAGCGAATTTTGATAATCACTAAACGTTTGCAGTTCTATAGTAAATACTTTTACGATGATTTCTCTTCCTTTAGATCAAACTTTTACAATTTCTGAAGCTATAGAATCGATCGGCTTTGGGCGATTTCAGTGGCGATGTCTTTCAGTTATAGGATTTATATTGGTAAATGTGTATGAATAATTGATTCACTTTGGCATTATTTTCAACTAATTCAGCAAAACGGGAAGTAGAATTGATAATGTTGATCGATATGTCTGTTAAAAGAGAGTAGATGTCTAATACATTATCAATGCTATCTTTTAGTTTACATTAATTTATCTAATCTGTTTTAATTTAAGCTGTATTCTTACATTTGATAATAAAGTAGTGTCACAAAACAGCTTTGCAACAAGATAACGCAATATACGATCAATAAGTCAATTCCTTGAACCACATATCAAGGAACGATATCTGCACTATCACAAACACTTTTGCTCTACTAGCAGACTACACAAAGACTTAAGCGCCTCGTATTTTACGTTAAACACTAAGTTGGACAATTCTTTATTTCACAATATATATTGCATTTATATACTACTCCTCAATAGTTCATGAGTCATAGTTAATACAATTAACATTGGAATCATTTACTGAATTAGATATTAATTTTAGCTACTGCTCTCTTAATGCAGACAACAGTATTTACGAACATAGACATGTAATGACTATTACAGAATAGTCAGATTACGATATGTCCTATCACGGAACATTTCCATGATAATTTACAGTCTACTATAAGTAAATTACAATCACAATGATTCGAACTGTAAGCAGATGATTTGCATTCCCTATTATAACTATTAATTTCAGTATGTGTATAAGTGTTACTGTCATAAAAAGTCAGTACTATATTAAAACACAGTATATCCAAATTAGAAGTTAACTAAATAAGGATAGTCTAATAGAATTATCCTAACATTGATATTTCTACTGTAATACAGTATATAACACTGTAACAAGTAGTAACCACTGTCATTCCACCTGTTAACAAGTTTATTCGCTAAAAATCTCGGCCTAAAATATCCTGTTGTCGACGTCAACATCATTAGTAAACAATATGGTCAAATTTATTAACTTTATAGGTGCTCTTTAACTATTTTGTGCCTTACTAATCCATAACATAAGTATTCTTTCTGTTCTTTAGTCAGTTAGGACGATGCAAATTGCTATGCTTTCTTTACTTGGACCGTTGTTAATCTGTGAGTGGGGTATCAGTAATATCCAAGCAGGCTTGATAGTTGGAGTATGTATCCATTATTATCGGACTAATATTATATTAATAAATTATAACTCTATTTTATTCCTCTTAAATTTAATTCTAAGACGCACATGCCTATAACCTTCTTAAAATAAATCGAAATATGTTACCATTGAACAGCTTGCATATGTAGGCGATATAATAGGGTTTCCATACCTTGGATGGTTTTGCGATCATTACGGTCGAAAACTGGTGGGTATCTTACACTGTAGAAAAGGCTTAGATCTAGTTAGGAGGAATTGCTAAATTATCAATTCCCGTATAATTAAGCAGTGTATTTGATCATCAAAGAATCATATTAGTATGCAGTGAATATGCTAATGCTAAGCATTTACAATTTTTATTTGATAAAAGCAAGGATAGAGCGAAAATAAATGACAATCTTTTACATCAACTAGGGTGTGATTGTAGCAATCCTGTGCACTTCGTATTTTTCATCACTCTCTAGTTTATCATCCGATATTACGATGATGCTGTTGTTGCGATTAGTATGTGGAGTTTCTGAAAGTGGAATGCTGCAATGGTAAGATATTAATTTTAAGCCATGACTCATGTTTGATGTTACATGATCTGTTCTATTTTTAAGAATTAAATTGAATTACGGTTTTAATATCAATAAGTATAAGAAGCGAGTTTATTATTAGCCTGGAAATGATGCATTTATTAAAGTAAATAGTGGTTTAACTCTATTTAAACCAATTTAAAAATCATCTTATATATAGCATAACCATTCTAAGTGAATTAGTACCTGCAACAGCCAGAGCTAGATCCATCGTTTCCTTACGAGTAAGTTTAAATGAAGGATATGAGTAAAATCGTTGCTTGAACTAATTTCTGCTTGAAAATTATATTTTTCTAACCATTAAATTTATAGGGATTTACATTTATAGGCATTGCATTTGAGGGTATTATAGCTTATATCTGCCTGAAAATATTCGATTGGCGTATGGTAGTCTATACTGTGTCCGCCCTATACTTACTAGCAATACCTTTCAGCACGGTAACTAACTACATCAATGCAAACTATTAAATAAAAATAAATGCTTTTCTATAATCGAAGATCCTATCACATTGCTTAAAATTAATGCTATTAAAATTAAACTTGCAGCTACTAGTAGAATCTCCACGGTATTTATTATTGCACGGATTTCGAAAAGAAGCTAAAGATATTATAATCAATATCGCTAAGATGAACCGCAAGCCTGCGCCGGAAGGAAATTTAATTACAATTGTTGAAGTATGAATTCTATTGATGCTTATTTAATTTTAAAATATGGTAAAAGTTATATTTTTCATATATTATTACAGAAATTATTCAATGAATTACGAATTAAATTTTGCATGAGATAACGTTGATTCTTTCTTTATAAAAGACAACTTTAATGCTAATAGTTCATTTTGATTTGTGAATATTATAACTTAGGAAAAAGGGTGGAGCATTTACCGATTTATTTAAGCCTGTTTATAGAAAAAGAACTATTATACTTTGGATTATAACGTAAATTTCTAATATGTACTGTATGCTTCTATAATTGAAATTGATAGAAGATGGCATTTAATTTTACAAAATTTGATATCTTTATTAGACTTGCGGTGAAGACAATTTTTTTCGGGGCTGTTTGGATGGCTCCATTATTGGTTAAAGTTGATCGATGCGGTAAAATAATTTTATAAAACAATATTTATCATTGAATTTGACTATTCCTTTTCCGGCGGTAAATATATTATAGCTTATCTGTAAACTATAGTATCAAATACGATCAGACGTTCATATACATTTTACAAAAATGACTGCTGCGAAAATAAATAGTATCATATTGCTAGTAACTCTTTACAAATATTTATTGCTATTAACAGAAACAGCCAGGCAAGGAGCTACCAGAATGAGATGTCAATGTAAAGAAATTGATCTCCAAAATATTCTATCCATGGTTATAGGAGGCCTAGGGGAGCCTATAGGTAGGATCTAATTTGTTTTAAAATCGAATGATAGTATGATCAAAAGTTATGTATCGATTAAGAAGCTACGATATCGTATCATCTCAAAATAATGGGCGAATTAAAATAATTCGAAACATGATTTCAATATCAAAGCTATAATTATAATTAAAGTAAGGGAATGTAACAAAAGTAGCTCACAAATAGCAGTCCTAGTCAAATGAAATTTCTAGAAGGCTTTTATAGCGAGGTTTTTTAGAATAGTCGAGCAAGAATTAATTACAGCAGTAATCTAATCTAAAATCTAAAATATTACCTGCTCTAAGTGCAGTGAAGTCTTATTCTAATGTAAGCTCATCTCCGCTATTCTTAAATACATTTCATTAAATGTGTTTATAACAACATTGCCAGCTAGAACAAGACTTGAGTCACCGAAAGGAATACGTTTCCTCAACTAGAATATCACTATTTTCCACAATCAGAATCATTCTATTTAAAATGTCCCTATTTTATTAACGTCTAACACCAAAAGAAACACCGAAAGGTTTTGGGCATCTTCAAAATAAGAGTATATCAAGTCACATAATCATGTACCATAATTAGTCAACTGGCTAACATTAATTATCAACCATTTCTAATATAGCAGCTAGCAATCATCTAATATTAGCATTACGATAACCTCTATTCTTAAAAACCTGACTATATCAAATATAGCTATCATTATAATCAAATATGGCGTACACCATTACAGGAAAATTAATTTTTTTAAATTTATTATCTATTATCATATTCAGGAGGAGTAATAGCTTTTATTTTTGTGGATTGGATTGGGCGGAGAAAGTCTCTTATCTTAGGGTTATTTATATCTGGGGTTTCATCTCTTTTGCTGACGATTTGCGCTAATAGGTGACTCTATAAATAAATTTTACCCTAATACTTGTGTGTAATGGATCATTATGCTATAGATTATGTCACGAATTTGAAATAACAATATCTAAACCAAAAGTAAATTTAGGGCGAAATTGTCCATTAAAATTTCTAAAATCGTATCTCAATAGAATTGTGAGATATGCTTTGGTATTATTGATGAGATCTAGCAGTTGCTTATTGAAAAATATAATTACTATAGATTATTTGAAATAATTACCATATATTTGTTCTAATCTAGATCTATCCGACAAAATTTAGAGCAATTGGTCTCGGGGCTGCTACATCATTCGGTGGACTTGGCAATATTTTATCAATATTTCTAGGCCAAGTTAGTCAATTTATGTTACAGTTAGCCTTTTTCCAGATTATTTTTCATTCCTTAGAATAATTGACATCCATCAATCATTTTAAATTATTAACAAATTACGCTTTAGAATCTCGTTTATGCAATGACTTTATTTTAGGTACTGTTTGCGACTTCTGATATCGCTGTTTTAGTTGCATTCGCCATAATGGCAGCTCTAACAATTATTTTCTGCTTAATGATACCAGCTGAAACAAAGGGAACTTTGTTAAAAGTTAGTTGAATATTTAATAAATGATATGATTTAAAAATCTCGATCATTTTTCCTATTTATAAACATTCAAAAAAAATTACTTTTAATGCTATTCATTAATAATATTATATTAAATTAAAGGACACTGACTAATAACGAAAAGGATAATCCTAGACTGCATAATTCGGTATTATGCTAATATTGGCTGGTGCAAGCTAACAAATTCGATGAAAGTCAAAATTAGATCAGGATTTATGTACATCATATTACTATTTCAAGTTCAATTTTGGATGTATAAAGATATTTTGGGATATGTTTGGCTCTGCAGTTGTAGCACAGCTATCATCAACTAACTCTATTTACATTCATAAATAATAAATGTTATTAAGATATTTTGCTTATCAATCTTGACAAAAGCAATCTTTGATAACAGTATTTCTTTATAACATCAAATAATATTTATGTAGCTGCAACATAAATTATTTGATACCTTAATAGTTTTGGGTTGCATAGTTTCATATTTGCAGAAATTTGTGACAAATGAGGCCTGTTGGCTACAGGAAATCGCAAATATATGCGGCAGCTACATTACTTTAGTATTAATAAAGTTTTGCTTGAGCAATATTAATAGTACAAATAAAGAAATAAACAATATTTATGACCAATAGCATAAGATAAGAATTAATTGTGTTAACGGAATTATCGAAGCCCTAATTTCTGAGATTGAAATTCCAAAATGAAAATATGTATCTGCATTCTATCATCAAACAAGCATACTCACTTCACGAATTATAACTATAGTATAAGTTCAAGAGAGTGAACTAATTACGAATTTCTACTTCGTAAGACCTGCTTATTTTGCGACCATGCTATTGATTTAAATCAACTGATTAAGGTTTAACAGCGAATATTGATATTTCTGAACAAGTTGATTAGTAGACTATAGTGCAATGTAGCAACTAGCATTGAGTCCTTCATTAGGTAGTTCATATAATATGCTAATATAACTTATCTGAGTTTGAACTAGATTTGCATTCGTTTACTCCTCGGTAACATGAAATTTTTTCTGATGTAGTAATTAAGATAAGCTGATGGATTTAGAAGTCTTGTTATTAATTTCCGCAATTCAGTAAGGGTAGTTAACTTGCTCTAGTATGAAATTGCGTTAGAGCAAGCTTAACTCTAGACAGGTTATTGCTACTTCAACTTGAATTTTTAAAAGTTGTAACCATTAGGTAGTTTGTCTGAGTCTTTCAATACCATTTCGGTTTACTTAAATTCTGATTTAGTAGTCTAGCAAACTCTGAAGACTGCTTACTTAAATCGTAGACTATCAGCTAAATATGTTATTAATTTTAAACCATAGTTAATCTGCTGGCTCATTATTAAATTTTTCTTTATAAAACAAAGGAACTCCTTTGGGATGCCTTTTATATAAATGTTGCCAGATCACGTTGGCTTTGCTAGCCGTCTACATTTGAATAAATTACGCGTACAGTCTCCAAGGAATAATAAAATATGCGTAATTATAAAGTTTTTTCATTGCAATTGGATGCTTTAATACTATAATAAAATAGGTTTTAAAGTGACATATTTTCTGCTAAATTATAATATTGATTACAGATACAATATAAAATCTTAAGACTTCACGAATTTACTTGGACAATCCTTTTAGTCCTTCTATATCAGATTAATTCAATTGTTGCTGTCGTAGTCACTATGATTTCAAGCAAAGCTGAACAGGAACAACATTATTTAAGGAAATAGTCACGTAGAGAAAGGACAATCTACGGTAAATAATGCCTTGTACGTATTTTCATAGTTTTATGCATATTGTTACTTACCTTAAAAAGAAAGTCGACTAAGCCATTTGCATCGATAAGAAAGATTTCAACTGCCAGTAAAATATTCCTTTATTCTTGTTTTTACTTTATTTTCTATAAATTTTAGGCTCCTAAGTTTTGTGCAACTACTCATTTAATCAATTAGATCACCATTAATCATTACAAATTGTTAAAATAATTCCAAAGAGTTAAACACTATTTTATCTTCAATAACAGTTTATCACTAGTTGCTATCAATTAGACTACTAAGGTTATAAAATTAAAATCAAAACTCCAAGATATTATATCACCATTTAGCTATATAAAGTGTTCTGAAAGTAATATTTAAATCTTACTAATTCAAGCCAATGAAGTAAATCTCAAAACAATCAATATATCTATCCTTCACTACAGTACGATTTAAATACTTGCGAATTCTTGCTGTTAGAAGATTGCAGTAACTACATGACTCTCTTATATCATTACTTAAAACACAAAATTTTATTAATAATAGACTACTCTGTGCTACAGTTGCCTAAAAATCAATTATCGGTTCATAGATAGTACTTTAAAAGTCTTATTCGTCTGCATGCTTAACTTTGTAAGCATCAAATATAAAATCAATCTCAGCTGATTTCGAGACTTACTTTCTAAAAGTAACTTTGATATGGCTGGTTTATGGAAGTTATTTTATAATATGAAGGTTTTCAAAAGGTTTCAAAAAGATACATAATAGCCTGATTTCATATGCAATGAAGGCTTTTGCTTTCCTCTAAAGGCTTATTCTCATTGAGAACGTTTTTTCTCAAATTAGATCAAAGGCCTCAACTAACCATTGCTGATGCAGTGGAATCGATTGGATTTGGAAAATTTCAATGGCATTGTATGGCGTTTCTAGGATCTATTTGGGTAAACTCCTTTAATTAAATAATGGACAAGATAAATCTCAAAAGTTATCATAGCAATGACATGCTGAATCATTTATGAAAATAAGAACACACCATTGCTTCAACTAAATGAGCAAATGAAATGTATTATCGTATATAAACGATGTCAAAAAGGATAAAAAGAGCATGAATTTAGTGAAGTTGGGAAACCTATTATAGTAATTCCAGTAAACTAAATGTCGATGAAACCGTAAATAGAAACAAAGAGTTCTCGATGTTTCTTAGTATTTCTCATTTTATCATCACAGGTTTCACTAATGCTGATTAACAACTGATCACTTTAAAAAATAATTATTCCTTAATTAGATTTACAGCATTTGTTCAGATAAAAATAATGGGCATGATTCATACCCGGCATCTACTTTAAAAATTAATTAATTGCAGTTTCTATGCTTTTAACTCATTATATTTGATATGGAACAATAAGAAGAGCAGGCATAGTATACTATCTACCTCGATTGTCATTTCATACTATCTTAAAATTTAAATTTACCGAAATTAGCAGTCTATCAATATTGCGGTATCATCAGATAAGAAAAACAAAATGTTTAATATCTCTACGTATTTCTAATTTATGTCTTGTTAGATGAAGGAATGACTGAGCGTCTTACTGTTCTATGATTTTTATTAATTTGTTTAATTTTGATTTACTATTAATAGTTTGCCCGAACGATGCAAATCGCAATGCTATCCTTACTTGGACCATTATTGGTCTGTGAATGGGGTATAAGTACAACAGAAGAAGCCCTAATTACTGGAGTATGTGCCATGATTTCATATGTAACGCGACTAATTAATATGTAAAAGTTAAGAATCAGATACTGCCAGCCGTAGTTGTGAAATAGTACAGATGAATTACTTAATACTAGATTACTCATCAGTTATCATTACTTTCGTTAGCTTGCATTTCTTGGTGATATAATCGGATCTCCTTATATGGGATGGTTTTGTGACCACTAAGGTCGAAAATTGGTATTTGATGAGAGATTTCGATAATATGATATGTATAACATAATTAATTAGTCTTATTATTATTTGAATTTTCCGAATTAACGTTGCTGATAGAATTACTTACTTCTTTAAAAACTAGGGTCTTATCGCTGCAATTTTGTGTACTGTCTATTTTTCTACGCTGTCTAGCATATCATCTGGCATCTCAATGATGTTGGTATTACGATTTATATGTGGAATTTCTGAAAGTGGAATGATTCAATGGTTAGAATTTTAAGCTATCTTAATCGTTTACTATGCCCCAAGCTTTCGCAATAATGTTTTAGAGTCAAGCTGAACTCTAATATTAATGTGCTCAAAAGTTCCTAAAAAGCATGAAATATTTTTTCTAATATAGCGTAACAATACTGAGCAAATTAGTTCCATCTATAGCCAGAGCCTGATCCATTATTTCTTTACGAGTAAGGACTAACATTAATTAGATAAATGGATGAAAAATGAATTAAAAATTTGAACAGTATCAAAAATTAAACCATTTTCGATTTCTGGTTACAATCATAGGCATTCACTTTCCTTGGTATAGCAGTTGAGGGTATACTAGCATACGTCCTCCTGAAAGCATTCAACTGGCGAATATTGCTATTTGTTACAACGGCACTTTACCTAATTCCTATTCTATTAAGCTCGGTAATGAATTTATTTATAACAATATGTTTTGACAATGGTGGTAAATTTATTAGCTAAAGAGACCACCAAAGCTCATGATAATCAAACTTTAATATGGTACTTTAAAGTACGCTTATATATTAACTGTAGTTCATTGTAGAGTCTCCTCGTTATTTATTATTGCAAGAATTTAAAGGTGAAGTAAGTAAGATTATAGAAGATGCTGCCAGGTTGAATAACAGACCAACTCCCAACGGAAATTTGGTTGCCAATTTCGAGGTTTATTCTTAATAGCACCATTAGTACCTTTGATGACAGTATAATTAAATTTTGATGAAAACAATATTTAGATTACTAGTTATTTAAGGAATGTAATAAATATATATAACTAAAAAGGCACAAAAATGCTAACAGATTTATAAATCTTTTGTTTTCGATAGTTACGAATAATTGCTTTTAAATATTTCATATATAGCAAAGTGATGGTAAATTTAAAGACCTGTTCAAACCAGCGTATATAAGAACAACCATAAACTTATGGCTAATAACGTAATTTTATAGTTTAATTGTTAGTAATAAAACAAATTGTATTTAAAATGTGGCCAATTACTGATATAACTTTGTCAATTAATTGAATCAGATTCTGTATGATCACAATTTACTTTGGTGCCGTATGGGTGACTCCGCTTTTGGCTAAAGTTGACAGCTGCAGTAAGTTATAGTCTTTAATTTTATAAATTGTAATAAAATTAAATGATAATCTATTCGATAATATGCATATGTGTATATTTAAAATATTTAATAGTTTCTAAATAAAATAAACTTTTTGAAATTAAATTGCATTAAGCTTACATATGGTTACTAATATAGACAAATTAAAAGGATCATCTACAAGCATAGCATTTCCCTCGTATTTTTAATAGATAGTAAACAAGGAGCCACTGGCATTAGATGCCACTGCAAAGAAATGGGTCCTGCGAATATCATAGCCATTATTATCAGTGGTCTTGGAGAGCCTTTTGGTGTGATAATAATTTGTAAAAACTGGAGTTTAAAGTTTGATTCTAGATTAGTCGATGAATAAGATTAAAAGTCTTGTAAGCTTATGCTAATATAATTGTTAAGATAATTACCAAACTTACATAAGTACAATATTTTCTTATCAGTAAGACTAAATTACAATACAAATCAGCTACTCTTCGTACATGCAAAATTTTTCTTTTAATAGCTATTGTCACAAAACAGCTTTGCAACAAGATAACGTAATCTACGATCAATAAGTCAATTCCTTGAACTACGTATCAAGGAACGATATCTGCACTATCACGAGCACTTTTGCTCTACTAGCAGACTACACAAAGACTTAAACGCCTCGTATTTTACGTTAAACACTAAGTTGGACAATTCTTCTTTATTTCACGATATACTGCATTTATATACTATTCCTCAATAGTTCATGAGTCATAGTTAATACAATTAACATTAGAATCATTTACTGAATTAGATATTAATTTTAGCTACTGCTCTCTTAATGCAGACAACAGTATTTACGAACATAGACATGTAATAACTAATACAGAATAGTCAGATTACGATATGTCCTATCACGGAACATTTCCATGATAATTTACAGTCTATCATAAGTAAATTACAATCACAATGATTGGAACTGTAAGCAGATGATTTGCATTCCCTATTATAACTATTATAATTTCAGTATGTGTATAAGTGTCACTGTCATAAAAAGTCAGTGCTATATTAAAATACAGTATATCCAAATTAGAAGTTAACTAAATAAGGATAGTCTAACAGAATTATCCTAACATAGTTATTTCTACTGTAATACAGTATTTAACACTGTAACAGCTATATTTAACTTAAATTTGATATTCATTAGGCGGATTAATAGCCTTTACTTTTGTTGACTGTATTGGACGAAAGCAGTCTCTAATTCTAGGATTTACTGTAGTGGGTATCTCGTTTATTCTCTTGATGATCTGTACAAACATTTAATTCTTCAATTAAATTTTTTTAACATGTGCCTCTAAATCATTACAGGAACTTGCAAAAAATACTAAGAATTTTAATTCTCCTATGATAGCTAGCTAATAAAATTCTTGATTCCATTTAATTTTATAGCTTTGTTAGATACGCGTTCATATTGTTAACAAGATCTTGTGCCTGCTTCTTAACCGATGTTCCATTTATCTATACCTCGGAAGTACGTGTATCATCAATGTTGGAATATTTAATTTAGTATGTGCTAAGAAAGCTTCTCATCCATTTTATTTATTTAATAAAAAAAGATTTATCCGACAAAATTCAGAGCAATTGGTCTAGGCTCCGCTACATCATTTAGCGGATTAGGCAATATCTTTTCATCATTTATTGGTCAGGTTAGTCGACTAAGATACAAGAACATACATAAGAAATAAATAGAAGTATTTCGTGTCCAAAACTTATCATTATAAGTGATACATACGATATATACTTTAAAATGAAAAACGATGAAAGGTATTTTCTTCAACATTCTACAGAACTAATAGGCTTCTATTATCTACAGGCGCTATTTTCAGTTTCTAATACCGCCACGTTAGCTACTTTTGCTGGAATAGCAGCTATAGCAGTTATTTGTTCTTTATTAATAAAGGTTGAAACAAAAGGAACCTTGCTTAAAGTTAGTTTTTAATCTAATTAAAAACATAAACGTTGTTACTCAAACTATCACTCACTCTTGCTATTGAACTACACTAAGGACACAGACTAAGTTTTGGAACGCTGGTTTTAAAATTTTGCCAAAATACTTGTTTAATTTCGGATGTTGTGAGCTCACAAGTCCTGTTTTGGAGGAATTAGCATTTTCTTTCGAGTTCTAACAAAATATGAACTCTATATAAAATTTACTATCGCAATTCGAATTCTACCTCTGGCACAAGAGCAAAAATTTTTGATAAATTTAAATTGTACCGGGTTCCTCATCCAATAATTTATTTTCTTCCTAAAATTGATCGCTTAATATTGTAATGAAAGATAAGTCTACTATGCGCTTTAATGATAAAAGCTTCTTACACAGTAAAAGTTATTATTTACTACATCATACAAATCAGGGCGTGAGAGAGACGGCAGATTTTTAGGACAGTAATGTAAATGATCATGATAATTAACAACTAATTTAAACGTGTAGATTACCATAAAATTACAATACCAAATTAGAGAATACTTTAATAAATCGTATAAAATCTATCATTTTTTCCGAGTTCTAATTTACGAATATCAGTCCGTCACAGTTCATTGCTGTACGTCACATGTACTATTGTACAATTATTGATCAGAATAATTAAGAATACACGAGATTCATAATTTATTAGCTGTGAAATAAAAAGAGCTTTGAGAAGCATATAAAGGAAGGAATATTATATAGTTTATTATGGTATAGAAGTAAATTATTGCAGTTAACCAAATTAGTGTTTAAAAACTAATCTTCACTATTTAATGTGTCCGTCCTTATTAGCTTAATTTGTTATAGAAGAGAGTTTTAGTGCCATAGAGCTTTACCTATCTATTATAGTATTTATAGATCTGTACATAAGCTCAAAATTTTTCGTCCTGCCCTCAATTAAGTTAATCAAATACAGTTGTTTAATTTAAATGTTAAATAAAAATCGATGTTTTCATCTCGAAAGTGTTTGGCTTAAAGTACCGTTTTACTAAAGAGAGTATAGCAAAGGGATTAACTATTATTCTTGTAACGAAATAAAATATCGGCTTACATTCCAACATCTAGGTCGACCACTTAACAACCACGTGGATTTGATTAAAAATCTTTCGCAGCTTTCAATTTACTACATACTATTACTAAATTATTTGTATCTAGTCCATCAAAAGATGTTAATGAATAAATAATGCAAGTACGTGCAGGCAGCTTTAGTAATCACAATGTATCAACATAAATCAATACGAACCCAAGCTAACGACAGTTAAACATAACAGAACAACAATTTCATGCATGACCGATCAAAGATTAAAATTTTGTTTCGTTTAAAATTCTAGTAAAGATGATTTATAAATCGTTTATTAATCCATAAAAATTACCAAAAAAAATGTGATACCTTAATTAAGATAAAATCTCATATGATATTCGAAGAAGAAATATTAACAAATTGTTTGTATGTATTCCAAAGTTTGCAATTCTACATCTACTAGCTAAAGTATATAGTTCATACTGTCTACTAGATTACTTAGAATAATTATACAATATAATATTGTAATTATAACATTTATGCTTCAATAATGATTAAAATAATAGTAATTTAATTTTAAAGTAGAAGTCACGTTTACTCTGTCATCGAATACAATGTGAATGTGATCATCTTTACTTGAGATATAATTCAAGATTGCTAGTAATTTTTTTATAGTTATTAGCTGTATACCGTAGAAAGATTTAACTAACAGTTAATTTATAATTACTATTAATTTAGTAATCTGGAAAATCTGGCTTAGTATTTATTGGATCATATATAATACTGTCACAAATCATGATTTATAATACTTAGATGGATAATGAGAGTATAAAATACGGTATGACTCACTTAGGAAATTCTACAAAGAAGCCTTTCAATAGCACTTATTTGCTACTCTATGGTAGTAATTTAATCAAGTAAAACGAAAGCGAAGTACACACACTACAAATTTTACACTCAAGACGACACTCACGACAGTCGCTTTAATACATATGCATACTGTAGAACCGTAGAAACACAATAAGCCCAATTTTTCTTATCTAACCAGTAAACAATAGATAAATACTAACATTCCGTTAATAGAGTGTGTCAGGAGTTCATTAAGCAGAATATAATAACAGACCTCTGACAGAAATTATAAATATTCAGCGGTTCTATCGTTATCATGAACATATATTACTTAGGGTTGTATAATATTAGCAATGAAAATATACACCTTACTTTATGAAAAAGTAATTACATTGGAAATGAATTCGAATGCAAATTGAAACAGAGATTATTATTATATCATGGTCATGAATAGTCAAGTTAACTTAATCAGCATATCATCTTCAAAACTCGTTTCGGAACAAATTCACTTCTAGTTTAATTCACAATACTTTAGATTGGTAAATTAATAGCGTAAAAATTAAGCACATGACTAACCGTCAAGTGTATTCGCTAAAATTGGATTTTGATAATAGCTACAGAAACAGTCTCCTGTAGGTACAACATTCTCACTACTAATACAAATCTGTTCATCTGTTCAGTAGGTTAAATATCAGGTTATCGGTTCAAAAAAAATCTCTCCTTATTCAATATTTGCCAGTTTTGATGCACAGTATGATATCAAATTTTGTTTATTTCTACGATTAATGTCCCGACCTAGTGAACCGATACATGATTACTGAGTTACAGTTCAACTTCTGCACTGGTTTGCTATCTCGTGGATGAAAGTGCAGTCTTTCCGATAAGTTACCTGCATATATGTCATCAAAATTAGCAATCATAGAGTTGAATAATGACTTGATAATACATTTGGTAGTTATTCAAGCATGACAGTGGTAATGAAATGTGACTAATTTAAATGGCTTGCATTCGTTTTGTTCTGCTTATATGACAGTTAGATTGGCAGTTGTGTATTAGCGACAGGAGATAATATAATTTAAGAAAATGACCGCAAACGGTAGACGAAGAGATACTGCCTTATCGAATCCAATCGTTTCTTTGAATTCGAAGATGTCTGGATCCTTTATTTTTTCGTACCATGTAGAGAATTGGATTGTACATTGGGGATAGGAATATAAGGCATCCAAGTAAAAATATAGCTATAGTCAATTTGCTATATCCATCAAATGTTAATCTAGCATAGTTGATGTCTATATAAATCATCATTATAAATCCTACCAGTAATGGAGATCTTGATATGATAAAGGAAATTGAGATATAAATAAGAGTCTTGATGACTCGTTCCTTATGTTCTTGGCTTCCCACTACATTTTGAAAACGCTCTCTTGTTGATGATGAAACTTGCTTTAGTTTCCTAACAACTCTAGCATAGCAGTACGACATGATGATAATCGGTATTATATAGCAACAAATTAGATTATATAAAAAAAGGATTATCATCAAATAATTTTGACCACAGGTGATAAATTTGCACGTTACTTTCGAAACAGGATCAGCGATAATGATATTGACACCAAATATAGGTACTGTGACAGCGATTATCCACAGGCTATACAGAATGATTGCAAATTTTTCTCTCTTCATTGGGACACTTTTAGGATAAAGAATCACTCTATGCCTCTCGATTGCGATCAGGACCAGCATATACACATGCAAAGAATTGGTAAATAACGATAAGAAGCTTAACAATTTACAGATAGGATTCATAATTTCATGAGGCCAGCCCATTGAATAAGTCCCGAGAACCGTAATACAGTATAAAATAACGATCATTGTTATAAGTAAATCGCAAATTGCTAAATGAAGCATAAGAACATCAGTTGAAGACTTTAATTTATCAAATTTAATCATCCTGAAAACGATAATAAAATTAACGATAAAGGCTATTATGTAAGCCAGTAAACCTAAAATGGCAAAAAGCATGATGAAGTTAGGTGAGAAAATACTTGAAATGGTGGCATTAGATGGTAGTGAAGAATTAAAAGAGCAAAATTTTAACGATTCCATAATTTCATGCAAAGGCAATAATGAGGACCAAAACAGTTCGTTATGTAGACTAAAATCGGAAAACAGCAAATCGTAAAATGTTAGACTTTATTATAATTACGGATACAAGCCGTTCGCTGTACTGTACCATATTTTACATTTATATTTGTTATTATAACTTAGTTCGATTTAGATCTTTTTCGATTATATCTTGGAGGATAATAATAGAATGATAAGCATCAGATAGTCTTTAATACAAGAATTTTACTTTGAATAAAACTTTCAGATATAAATTTTTACTAAACATTAGTTTATAATGCGATCTACTATATAGATAAACTACATAACCGCTTTTAATAGATGTCTCTGATATAGAAAACTTTAAAGTATTACTCGGATTACCTTGTATTTCCAAAATCTTACAAATAAGCGACACGAGCGTTACAATATCAAAATCGCAGTAATTAATCGTTCAACCCTTATTAATGATCTATTCCGAAGTATTTTAAAACATGAATTACGAACAGTATATTATATCAAACTGTCAAATCACCTGGTTGAATACTGCGTCATTTGCAACAATGCATCTAGAGGTAAAAAATTAACATCCTAGGATTTTGTGATTGCTTACAATAGTAAATTATAGCATATAATATTGCAGTAAACAACTAATCATATATCACTAAGACAGTTTTAATGCAGGATCTACACATTACAAAAGGCCAGATCATTTCTTTCCATAGAATTGAAATTACCAATTTATTCTATTCTTCATGATAAGCTTATAAGAACAATAATTTTATACTCTAAACAATTCTATAGTAAAAAAATAACTTAGCACTAATGTATCATTCCTATTTAATGTTATTAGTGCACTACAATCAGTCTACCAAAAATATCACAAGTCAGATATTTAAACGAATTATTTATTTCTGATAGATTTCAATGTGAAATCAAAATTACTTTATTTATTTAAATTCAGCAAATTTATTTTTAAAAATTGGATCATTTTTTC